GGGGCGCGCCCCATCGCCCCTCCGGGGCTGGCGGCTGCCCAGCGCAGGGAGCCCCGGGGCGGGCGGGGCCTGGCCCCGTTAATCTCGGCCTTGCCCCGGAATAGCCGCGGGTCTCGTCCCGAAATCTCCGGGGACCGAGCGGGAGAGGTTTGGCTCCGGACAGGGAGCGGGGCGGGGGTGGGGGGGACACATACACAAAGCTTCCCCCCCACTTCCTACGCCCACCCGTCCTGTACGCGAGTGGAAGGGTGTCCGCCTGCGGCCGCGTTTTGGGTGGGGACACCGAAGGACACGCTCCCCACGTCGCAACCCGCGGGAGGTCACCACCACCGCCGCCTCCCCGAGCTCCCCCTAAACGTGGGCGCTGGAGTTGGGGGGACACACGTGGGCTCTGGGGTGGGGGGGACGTGGGCACTGTTGAGGGGCAGGGCAGACCCCCGCCCCCCCCCCCCCGTCGGGGGACAGCCATCCTCCCCGGGAGGGAGCAGACACCCGGGCAAGGGAAACCCTGCCCCATCCTCTGCCCGTTCCCCTCCCGTCCCGGATCCTGCCCGCGCCCCTGCGGGCTCCCCGGCCCTTCGAATCTGCCGGCAGGATGTCTACATGCTTCTGCCGTGGCTTCATCGCTTGGCTGTTAGACCCATATTTGGTAGCAATAATTGTTTACTCCTTTCTCTTCTCCCCCCCCCCCCGCCCCGCTGCTGAGAAGGGGAGGGGACATATTTTTGGGATCTTTAGCTTTGCCGGAGAGCCTGCGGGCTAAAGGAATTGAAAACCCTCCCTGCAGACCGTGGGGTCACCCCTCTACCCCCGAGTGGTAAATGGGCTAGGGGTGGTGTGTGGTGGGCACTAGCCAAGCCCGCTGCTTGCTTGCCCGAAAGGCAGTGGCAGGAGCTTGATGCATCCCTCCCTAAGTGGCATGTCCCGTCAGATTGGGGGAGGGGGAGCGGGAAGGCTGAGGAAGAGGGAACAGGGACGCCCTCCTTTCCGCAGCTGAGCTTTGCCGGCTGCTGGGTGGAGAAGTGTCCCCCAAAACCCAGCCACACTCTGGTCTCACTTTACCCTTCCTCCCTGGCCGGTGGCACGGTGGTGGGCTAGTTACTTGCCTTGGCAAGCTTGGGTGGCCTAATCAGGGCACGCAGCGGTCTCTGGAGACTGTGAGAGCCCCCACCACACCCCAAGCACTGCTTTTGGGGTGCTGTGCTGGAGGGCCAGCTCACTAAAGGATGCGGGAGAGGCTGCAGATGGAGTCCTGGCCCTGCTCAGCCTCATGTCTGCTGTGGCGGTGAGCTCACTGAGGGTGCCACTGTTTGTGCCCCCCTCCTTTTAGAGGTGAAGGGATGCCCAGCAGGAGTGGACGGGCCTGGGAAATGCCACCAGTTAATGGCCAGAGCTGCTTCACCTCAGCACGGGTGAGCATCGCGTGTCCCCTGCCTGTTTCCCACACCGAGGAGGGCTGTCCTCCCTGCAGCAGCCAGAGGATGCCCCTGCCCCATCGTGGGTGTCAGTCCTGGGTCTGGGCTCAACAGCCCCTCATGCTCCCCAGGGGCAAGCTGGGCCTTGGCTGTAAGAAACCATCTTCACGTCTGATGTAGACGTGCTGGTGGGAAAGAGGAACCAGGGTGAATGGGCTGGGCGGTGTGGCAGCACCAGCTCAGCCTTCCTGTTGTCACGGGGCTAAGCCACCCGGATCTGTGTATACTGGTGCCCATACTGGAGAACCTGGCCAGACCCAGGTCTGGCTTCAAAAATTAACCCTGTTAATTTTTGACCTGGTTCATCATGCTGTTGTGCAGACGCTGGGATGTCCCAGCAAAGCCACCGCTCGCTGGCATCGTGGTGGCCTGGTACTTGCCTGGCTGTGCCGGCGGAAAACCCCGGCAGTGGGGTGGTTTGCAGCTGATAAAGCTTCCTGCAGCCAGCTCCCAGCCTGGGGGTGGTCCGGAGTGGGGCCTTTCCCCAGTGAAACTTGGCATTGCTGTAAAAAGAAAAAAAAAAACCAAGAAAAAAGAAAAAAAAAAAAACCAAACCAAAAAACCCAACCCAACAACAAACCCAAACCTCATCCGGAGTCTCCTGCAGAAAGTGCATGTTAAAAAATGAGCTAAATTGTCATGTTTGAAGGTTTGCAGCTTGTTCTGGAAACTCGCCGCCAGTGCGCCAGCACCAGCAGGCTGCTATCGAATTTTGGTTGATTTTTTTTTTTTTTTTTGAAGATATAAAACCTCCTCTGTAAAACCGTTCTGGCGGCACTAAACTCGGCCGGTACAAATATAGCAGTTACGTCACGTGACGGAAAACTCTCTCTCAGTGGTCCCGGCAATGACGCGGTGGCTCCTCGGGCTGGTGCGGCGCTGCCGGCCTGCGGCCACCCCTGCCTTTCAGCAGAGCCCGGAGACCTCTGCCACCACCACCACCATCATCACCATGATGGTTTTGCTCACCCAGTGAGGTGGAGACAGCCGGAAAGGTTCCCCCCTTGGGGAGGGGGTTGGACCCCATCAAGAAGCCACCCACCCCCACTCCACCCCCCCCATTTTGGGATGGTCGAAGGGTTGCACGCGGCTTGCTATAAAATGCAGAAGTGCGTTAATCTGGCTGCCGTCTGGCTGCGCCGGTGCCTTATCTGCCTTTTTGCATACCGACAACCGATTGCGAGCGGGTTTGCTTTGCTCTGGAGGCGAGCCAGCGCAGAAATTTGGTGTGTGTTCATCGAGACTTGGTTTGTTTGGGGTTTTGTTGTTTTGTTTTGGGATTTTTTTTTGTTTGGTTTTGTTTTGTTGATTTTTTTGGGGGTTGTGTTGGTTTTTTTTGTTTCTCTCCAGTGGGACCAGCTGGAATTTCGCTGTCCTTTTCCTTTATTTTTCTGGTTTGCAGTGCCGGGGCTCCCACGCTGTCTCATCCGTTATGTCTAGTCCAGCTTTTTCTCCCCCACGTGGTACCCGCAGGGGAGAGGTCCGCAGGGGCCGAGCCCTGCATTTGCTAATCCTTCCCCCCCCCTGGTGATTAATTGCCACGTTTGCTCACAAGCCTCTCCAGGGCTGGAGGAGGTGTACTTTCTTACGCAGCAGAGAGCGGTTCTGCTTCAGACGTTGATGTCAGCAAAGTTCAGCTGCTGGAGCCTGAACTGTTTCCGCAGAATACGGGAATTAAAAATGAACCATCTCTCTCTTTCCTCAGAGGGTTTACTTGGTGTCGTGAATGCCTGCCCTGCTGAGCTCTCTTTTGTGAGACAGTGGGAAGGCTTCAGTGGTCATCCTTCTGCAGGGGCTTGGAAAGCATGGTGACCCCCGTGAAATGTGTGCTAAGGGGTTCCTGAGGCTCAGTGCCTGATTTTGGGTGGCTTTGGGGAGGGCAAGAGGAGGCTGCAGAAATGGCCGGGCATGGCCTGGCTGCTCTCGGTTCCTCTCTGCCGTCTGACAGCCTCCCCTCCCCTTCCTCCGTGGTCTCTGACCTTGTCCTGGCAGTGGCATGTTCTCCTTTTCCTGCCAAGGGACGGAAAGCAGCTTTATGCTCAACTCGAGAATATTTTTAGATATGGAGTTAGATGGCCTGGTGACCGCAGCAGCCCGCCCTGCCTATGAAACGCTCAGAAAGCCCTTTCTACAGCAGGGTGTTCCTCGTCCCTTCGGCCCCGCAGCTTGGCTGGTGCTTCTGGGTAGATGGCGATGCCACCTCCCGGGCTGCCACCCCGGGCTCCCTTCGCTCCGGACCCGAAAATGCATTTCATTCCTCACCGGCGGAGCCAGTGGGGGCCGCGGGCCTCCGCAGAAACATTGCCGAACGGCTCAGGAATGCGGAGCTGGAGCCGCTCCATGCGCTGGCGGAGGCGGCACGCTCCTCCGTCCCTGCCTCCCACCCCGCACCACCAGCAATGGCGCTGCGGCTCTGCGGCAGCGGGACCCCTGCCCTCCAACTTGCTCCTGGCCAAAATCAGATGCAAGAGCTTTTTTATCCATTCAAGCTTTGATTCCAGATCCTCCCCCTAGCCCGCTCGGGGCTGTGGATGGGATGTGGATGGGAGCCCACATCAGTGTACCCCCTTTTCCGTGGGGGACCGGAGCTGGCAGCGTGTCACGGCTCTCCCCGTGTGCCACTGCCATGGGAGGGAGGCTGCCAGCGAGTCTTGCCCAGGAACCTTCCCCGGGCCAGGCTAAGGATGCACGTGGCCAAGAACCTTTCCCTGACAGCCATAATAGGAGGCCTGGTAGGAGATAATCAATCTAAAAGAGAACAAGCAGACGTGGTACATCCCACCAGTGCTCTTGCGTCCTCCCACGCGCCGGGGTTTAAGGACAAGGCAGCCTGGGTCGGGGCAGAGCCGAGGAGTCATTCCCCGTGAGCAGGCTCTCAGGGAGAGGAAAAGGCACGTCACTGCTGGAGAACATCAGGCTGGGGCCGACCGGGAATTCTGAGAAGGGCAGGGAGCAGTGGGGCAGGGCGAAGGACCCGTCGCAGGGACCCCGAGGCGTGGGGCAGCCTGGGAAAGCACTGAAAGCTGCTTGCACTGTGAATAAACCCAAAGGAAAGGTGTCTTACGAACCCTACAAGCTGTTAGGCAGGCAAGCAGGGGGCTTTTTTACATCCTCCTTTTGCTTCTTGCCGATTTCACTCTGCTGTAAGAGTATCGCAGTGCTAATTTGGTGTCACTGAACCTGGTGTTTTTGGAGCCCTGTTGAGGGGTGCTTGCTCGGAAGCTGATCTGCGCAATCCTCCAAGCTGGAAGCTGATCCTTCAAGCTGAACCCAGCCTGGGGCCTGGTTCGGATGGCATGGTGCAGCTCTCCTGTGCCCTGGCAGTGGGACCCTGCTGCGGCTGGTCCCTTGCCCTCCACGCATGGGCTCCCCAGCCCTGGATTTGTGCAGTAGCTGCTGCCATAGACCCGAAGCTCTGAGCACTCGCTCTCCCCATGTAATTATTTTTAACGGGCAAGTTCAGTGCTTGATGCCCTTATCTTGCTTCCCCGAGCGGCTCCGGGCTTTTCTGTCCCTCCCTGCTCAGGGGACACTGCCGGCTCAGCACTGTCCACTGGCGACGTGGGGGGCCCTGATAGCCGGGTCAAGGCCCTGCCAGCTCCACGTCAAAGCTTGGTTTTCCTCTTGTGGCTTCTGTTGTCACGGCAGGTTTAATTATAACCCTTTCCATCATGTTCTCCCGTTATCTTGTGTGCTCCCACACGCTAGCTTCCTCCTCTCTGGCAGCATCTCCGCCGGGTACCAGCTGCTGTCGCTCCTGCAAGCGAGCAAAATCAGCTTTGGGACCTTGGGACGAGGAGACAAAGATCCCAACGCTGGCCAGAGGCCCTGGGGTCAGCACATTGCTGGTCCCACAGAGTGGGACCCCCTCGCAGGCTCGCCAGCACAGGGTGCAGCCCTTGCTTACCAGCAGAAGCTGGGTTCCTGCTGTTGGGGAGCAGAGGTTCTGCTGGAGGGGAGGAGGAGGAGAAAGGACCCTACACACTGGAAGGGCCAGTGGTCAGAGCTAACCCATCTATCTCCTCCGGCAGGTGACGCAGGAGTGGGGACAGCCCAGCCGCCACCATGGTTGCCCTCTCGCTGAAGATCAGCATTGGGAATGTGGTGAAGACGATGCAGTTTGAGCCTTCCACCATGGTGTACGACGCCTGCCGGATGATCCGCGAGCGGGTGCCCGAGGCCCAGACGGGAGCGCGTAAGTCCCTGGTGGAGCTGGCTGCAGTGCCAGAGCCACCCCAGCTTAACTCCTGGTGTGTCACCGGTGTCCCTTTCCGCTGTAGTCCCCCTGCCCATCTGGGCTTTCCCAGAGCAGTTGTGGGTGGAGGGAGCAAGGTCCAAGTCCTCCTGCCCAGTTGAGGTGAGGGGCTGAGCTCCTCGGGCTCCCTCCTTGACACCCCAGAAGGAACTTGGAGGGCCGGACGGTAGGAAAACACGTTTTGGAGTGAAATAACTCATCGAGCTCTTTGAGCCTGCTGCCATTTCTGACCCTGCTCCTCTCTCCTGCTTGTGTCCATCAGCTCTAGCCAGGACTAGGTGGGTTTAAACAGTTGCAGGGGTCATAGCAAGCATTAACAAACCGTGTAAGTTAATGTTTCCTTTCTTGGGGGATATATAGTCCTCTGTCAGGTCTTACCCCCACCACGCACTGGCAGCTCTCTGCCAGGCCTGTGCTGGTGCTTTATTACCTTGCTAAGCTTTCTCAGCTTTAATTTCTCCGTGTTGCTGCCAGGCTCAAAATTAAGCGTATGGCTCACGAGCTCATGATGTGACTCACACCCACGCGGCCATGGCCTGTCCCCAGCATGGATAGAAGGGGGGCTGGAGCACTGGGACGTGGCCTTGTGGGCTCTCCTGGGTCTCTGCCGCCTCCGAAAGTGGCCGTGCCACAGGGGAGAGGCAGCAAACAGGAGGTCAGGAGTCGTGGGAAGAGGAGGGGGAGCGCGGCGACATCTGGGAGCAGCAGATTCCTGGAGGATGAAAGGAAATGCCTTCTCCGTCGTGCCCAGCTGGCCAGTGGTCCGGCCAACCTCGGCTTTCAGTTTCAGAGAGGGACTGACTGGATGTTTGTGTGGATGTGGGGCTGTAGCCGTGTTGGAGGGAGCATTGCATTTCCTGCTCCTGGGTGGGAGCCAGCCTGCTTATAAAAAAAAAAAAAAAAAAAAAAAAAAGAGGCAAGGGGAAAGCCTTAAAGGGAACTGCTTATTCCTGAGTTCCTTTTCAGTTGCTCACAGCTTTTTTTTTTTCCCCTATCAGTTCACTAGAGCTCTTGTTTCTCTTTGCTCTCCGTACCCAGTGGCACTGATGGGTACCTTTTTGAGCTGCCTGTATTTTTTTGTTGCCTTTGGGCTGGGAGAGCTTCGGTGTGGGTTTCCAGCTTCTCTCTTGCTCTGTCTCAGGAAGCTCTTCTCCCCACCCAAGCTATGGATCTGGGGCAAGCTGCTCAGTTTTCAGTGCTTTAGAGTTATCCTCTTGGAATTTCCTTCGAAAACAGCTTTTTTTTTTTTTTTTTTTTTTTTTTTTTTTAAAAAAAAAAAAAAAAAAAAAAAAAAAAAAAAAAAAAAAAAAAAAAAAAAGTTCTAGGAAAAATATTAAACCCGCCCAGCTGGAGTCGCAGCTTTGCGGGCTCCTGTGTCAGGAGCTGCGCTCAATTGAAGAGACAGGCAGTTTCACGGAGGAAGGTTGGCATCTTTCTTTTCCGGGAGAAATTTAGGATGAGGCTTTCAGGCAGATTAAGTGGTGAGGTGCCCTGGAGAACGTGTTCCTACCCTCCTCTTGTGCCAGCACTGGTGCTGTTCCTCACTGGGTAGTAGACAGTCTAATAAGTAAATAGTAGCTGAGCCAACTGAAAGTTTGGTTTTTTTTTTTTTTTTTTTTTCTTTTTTAATTTAAAAATAAAATGTCAAGCCTCCGTGATTTTTCTGTTTAGTAGGATCCTTTGGCGGCAGTGTTAGCCAGGCAGGAGTGGGGCGGCTCAGGAATTTGTCCCTCCCCGCAGAGAGCTGCCAAGGAGATGACGCGTTATGAACGTGGCCAGCCAAGACAGCCTGCGGCGCGGGGTTCTTGAAAGGTGGAGAAAGACCTTTCCCAGGGCAAAGCCAGGCGTGGTCCTGGCTTCTTGCAGCATGAAAACAGGGCTATCCCTGTGGGTCTGAGCTGGGGTGCCACTGCCCCGGCTCCAGCAGCAGCGCTTTCACCAGGCACCTCCTCCCGGAAGGAGCAGGATGTGGTGAATAGCGCTTATTCACCACCTCTTGAGACCTTGTAAGCCTTGATCTCATACCCCTTCAGCCTCCTTCTCCCCAAGCAGAGGAGTCCCAGCTCCTTTTAGTCCTTCGTACCAAAGCTCCATCAGTTAGGTTTCCTCTCTGTGTATCTTTTCAAACTCTGCTCTGTCCTTCTGGGAAGGTGCAGACCACACCACCTCAGAGTACTCAAAGTGTGGATGAGGCTAAGTTTTATAGACCAGTTCCCAGGACCCTTCCTGGTGATCCCCAGCAGTTTATTACTTTGCTGTCACCGCTGATACACGTTGCACTGAAGGTTTCAGAGAGCCGTCAACCACAACGCCAAGCTCTTCCTTTTGTTGTGACTATCAGTTCCAAGTTCAGCATTGCGTAGGCATGCTTCAGATGATTTTTTCCGTAGATAACTGTCGTAAAACATGTATCTCAGAGCTTCCTTGCCAACTTTGTTGCCTGCCCACTCATTAGGTTTAGGCTCCAGCGTTCACAGTGCTGCTGTGCTCCACGTGCTGAGCTGCACCGATGCACACCCCAGGGCACAGGCTGGCGTCTGGTGGCCCTGTCCTGCTCAGGATTACCCTGGCAGAGACTTTTACCTCTTTTTCAGCCAATGATTTTGGGCTGTTCCTCTCGGATGAAGACCCAAAGAAAGGGATCTGGCTGGAGGCTGGGAAGGCTCTGGACTACTACATGCTTCGCAATGGGGTAAGCATCTATCCTGCATCCTTCCAGCTGGTACCCGCCTTGGCTCTGCAGCCGGATGTGCCCTCAGCAAGGAGAAGCTGTGGGTGCTTGCCCTGCTGCCTTGCATTCTGCCTGGGTTGTACCCCATGTGTCCCCCACGTCCATTGCCCCAGGGAGAAGGGAACTGTTGGCACAGTGGTGGGATGCAGGCACCCCGCGCTGGTGCCACTGGTGGGAGCCGTGCTCCTCTCTGCCCACAGGACACCATGGAATACAAGAAGAAGCAGCGACCCCTGAAGATCCGCATGCTGGATGGGACAGTGAAAACTGTGATGGTGGATGACTCCAAAACTGTCACAGACATGCTCATGACAATCTGTGCCCGGATCGGTGAGAGGAAGGGGCAGCAACGGGGGGGAGGAAAGGAGGTGGGGAGAGGTGGCAGCATCTCGTGGGGAATACCAGGGGAGCAGCAGCAGGGATAGCCAAGGGATGTATCATGCTGGGGAGGGGACACTGCACCTCCAGGCTCTGTGTTTGGCAGCAATGTACTGAGCTCAGACCTCTGCGCTCCTGCAGGCATCACCAACTATGATGAGTACTCACTTGTTCGAGAGATTATGGAAGAGAAGAAGGAGGAGGTTACTGGCACCATCAAGAAGGACAAGACCTTGCTGCGAGATGAGAAGAAGATGGAGAAACTCAAGCAGAAGTTGCACACAGATGATGAATGTAGGTGTCCACATGTGCTGGGGATGGGGTCAGCCTATGCCAAGGGGAGCAGGGTCCCTGCAAGGGGAAGAGCTGAACACAGAGAAGTGGAGGTGATGGTGGAGAGCACTGTGACAAGGGAATATGTGTCCACACTCCTGCCTGGAGGCTCAGGGCAGTGGGTTGATAGCTGGGATACTGTGACATCTGTTTCTGGCTCTGCACAAGCAGCCCTGGGGCTGGGAGCAGCCCTGCCTGGGTGCCTGTCCCTGCTCATGCCCTGGCATTGTCTGCAGTGAATTGGCTGGACCATGGCCGGACCCTGCGTGAGCAAGGCATCGACGACAACGAAACGCTGCTGCTGCGGCGCAAGTTCTTCTACTCCGACCAGAACGTGGACTCACGAGATCCTGTGCAGCTCAACCTGCTCTACGTGCAGGTACAGAGCACTTGGCTCCACTGCCCCATTCCAGCCCCCTGCCAGAGCTGGTGATTGAGGTTTGGGCCAGGAGCCATCACGGGGGGTACTTCGGGATGCCCAGTTATCTCCTGGGTAAAAGCCAATGCTGGCAATCACAGCCCTGGCCTCTGCACACTCCAGAGCTCCCCGGGGGATCCCTTTTCCCCTCTGCCTGGTAGGAACCATCCTGCTATTCCTCTCCCAGGCATGCTCATGGTCCCTGTAGGGGACAGCCTGCCCCTTGATCCTCCTCTTTTTCATGGCCACTTCTTTTCTGTCTGGAAACCAGTTCCTGCCTGGTGTGGAGGGGAGTGGTGTCAGGGCTAAGTGGCTGCCCAGCCGACAGCAGTGTCTTCTCTTTCCGTGCAGGCTCGTGATGACATCCTTAACGGTTCCCACCCTGTCTCCTTCGACAAAGCCTGCGAGTTTGCCGGCTACCAGTGCCAGATCCAGTTCGGGCCACACAATGAACAGAAGCACAAGCCAGGCTTTCTGGAGTGAGTATCTTGGGGAGACCCAGGTGGCTTGAGCAGCTTGGTAGCCCCCAGCACCGCGCGCTGGCACACAGGGCTTGGGGATGCGAATGTCTCTGGAGTGACCCCTCTCCACAGTGCCCAAGCGTGAAGGTCCATGCCCCATATCCTGCTCCCTCTGGCACCCCACAGGACATGCAGCCAGCTCTGATGTGGGGGACCCCAGACCACTCTATGGTCTCCACTGATGAGGGGCTGCATCCTCAGCAACTCCACCTCCCTCTGAACAGGAAAGCTCTTGGGGCAGCTTCCATTACTGCAGCAACCTCTCCCACATCCTTCCTGCTCCCAAAAACTCCCAGCTTGTGCCCTGGCAGGGATTTGTCCGGGGCTCGTGGTTGGGCCTCTTTGTAGTCAAAGACAAACACTGACTTTGGGCTAACAGCTGACTTGGCTGTGTTTTGGCAGACTCAAAGATTTCCTGCCCAAGGAGTACATCAAGCAGAAGGGAGAGCGCAAGATCTTCATGGTAGGTGCAGGGGGAGTGTTGAGACTTGGGCTTCTTGTTCCTCCTTGCCAAAGGTTGAGACTGCTCTTGTCTCTGGCGGCAACACGTAGCAGGTTGGTGGGTGAGAAAGGTGGGTGAGGAGGAGCAGGAAGCTGTAGGTGGGCGGACAAGACAGCTCCTGAGGTCCCAGAGGTCAGAGGGATGCTGTAAGGTGGGCAGGGGTTGCCAGTGGGGTGAGGAGAGCCTGGAAAGGCTGTGACAGGGTGATGGTGGCACAGCCAGGGGACCATGGTGCTAGCGTGCTGTTCTCTTTTTGCTGCTGCAGGCCCACAAGAACTGTGGGAACATGACTGAGATTGAGGCCAAAGTTCGCTATGTGAAACTTGCACGTTCCCTTAAGACCTATGGGGTGTCCTTCTTCCTGGTCAAGGTAAAACAGCAGCTCCCCTGGCCAAAATTCCCCTTCTCCAGCATCTCTCCATCTGTTACGTCTGCATCCAGCTGCTACCCCTCAACCCACATTGCTCCAGTTTTCCCTGCATCCCCAGTGTCCGTCTGTCCTTCTTGGCTTTCCATGTGCACTGCCTTCCCACTTCTTGCTTTTCTCCTGTCCTTTTCAAGCCCAATGTCATGGTTGCCACCACCTGAAAGAGTGGCCTGGAGGTGTTTGGTGGCCAAGGGAGGCTTTAAAGGTCTCTACCTGGATGGATCCATCCTGAGGGAAGCCCACAACCCTTCTGTTGCGGCCTGCAGGAGAAGATGAAGGGGAAGAACAAGCTGGTGCCACGGCTGCTGGGGATCACCAAGGAGTGCGTGATGCGGGTGGATGAGAAGACCAAGGAAGTGATTCAGGAGTGGAACCTGACCAACATCAAGCGTTGGGCGGCCTCACCCAAGAGCTTCACCCTGGTAGGCACCAGCCTTCTTCCTCCACTCCCCCTCCCCTTGTGGGAAGATGGTTGCATGCCAGTCCCTCTCTTGGGTATGGCCCCGTGGTGGGACAGCCTTGCCCTCCTCTGGTGCCTCTCCCGGCTCTTGTTTTGGAGGCTGGCGCTTGGGTGCTTAGCGCATACCAGAGGGGCTCAGGATGGCCGCCAGTGCCCTGCTCCGGTGCTACCCTGTGCCGTGCTGTTGCAGGATTTTGGAGATTACCAGGATGGTTACTACTCGGTGCAGACGACAGAAGGGGAGCAGATCGCCCAGCTGATTGCTGGCTACATTGACATCATCCTCAAAAAGGTGAGAGTGTGCTGGGAAGGGTAGATGGTTGCCAATAACTGGCTTTTCTCCAGAGAGGGGTGCAGGGTTGCCCCTTCCAGCTGCCTGCAGCCAGCCATAGTCACACGGTGCTGCTGGGGGGACCTTGTGGCCCCCCTATGGTGCCTGGGCTGCAGGAGGAGGGGAAGGCTGGGAGGCGTGTGCTGGTTTGACACGTTTTCTCTTTCCCTTTGCAGAAAAAGAGCAAAGACCACTTTGGACTGGAAGGGGATGAGGAGTCCACCATGCTGGAAGACTCTGTGTCTCCAAAGAAGTAAGCCCTCCAAGAGCAAGTTAGCTGCCAACCAGATGTGTTGGATGGAACCAGATGTCTGGAGGAAGGGCTGCCAGTCCTTTGGCAGCAGCACTCCGACAGAGCCTGGTGCTGGGTCCATGGGCACCCCTCACCTATTATTTCTTCCCATTTCAGGCCGACTGTCTTGCAGCAGCAGTTTAACCGTGTAGGCAAGGTGGAGCTGGGCTCGGTGGCCCTGCCAGCCATCATGCGGACAGGGGCCTCAGGGCCAGAAAACTTCCAGGTGGGCACGATGCCGCAGCCTCAACTGCAGATCACCAGTGGCCAGATGCACCGAGGGCACATGCCTCCCCTGGTAAGTTCTCCCCGTGCCCATAGGGTACAGGCTCTGAAAGGTGCCCGTTTGGCTTATATAGACCCATCCATTTGGGTCTGTGGCCAGGTGTTGGCTTGCTGAAAGGAGGAGAGGCTCTGTGCCACTGGCCTCGTGTGCTTGGTGGCCTGGCTAAGCTGGCGTCCTCCTGTACCCACTCTGCAAACTTGAACTACACCCCGGCATTTTCCCCTGGCTGGTGGCCTCAGCCTTTCCTTCAGGTCGCGTTGCCTGGAGCTGCTGTGCCTGGCCAGCTCCTCCAGCACTGTGGTTTGCAGCAGAGCCCTGTGCCTGGCTTTGGTGCCCCCCATGTCCTCTGAGAAGTGCTTGGAAAAGGCCACGAGGAGGCTCTTTACTTTGTCCCCACTCAGCTTGGAGTGAGGCTTGTTTAAAAGCCTTGTGGGGTTCCACTGTGTCTGCTCCCCACTGCCCAAGAGGTGGTTAACTGTGAGACTCACTTCTACCCACAGAGGAACAGAGCATTTCCCAGTGGAAGGTGCCAGAGGGGAAGACCCCCTTTTTTGGCAGGGAGGCACCTACCATCAACAGCACGTTACACCGCATCGCAAGGGGGCAAGTGAGCCAAATATTTAAGCTTAGATTACAAGCTCCTGACACACCTCAACCTTTCCCTGTGTTGCAGACTTCAGCCCAGCAGGCCCTGACTGGCACCATCAACTCCAGCATGCAGGCTGTGCAAGCAGCCCAAGCCACCCTGGATGACTTCGAGACATTGCCACCTCTTGGGCAGGATGCTGTGAGTGCTGGGTGAAGAGGGGGTGCTGGGAGGGGACATCACTGGGGCTGGGTGAGGCTGGACATGCTCGCAAGAGAGGTGTCAGCAGCTCCTGGGGAGATCTGCTGCCTGCAATGAGGTGGGGTTGTATCCAGCTCTGGGGGCAGGAACAGAGAGGATTCTTGGTCACATTGCTTGGTCAGGATGGGCTGTGGTCACAGCTCTTCCTTCCTTTCCTTTTCCTTGTCTCCTCTCTCCTGCATCTCTCCATGTGAACGTGGGTGCGGCTCCCCACCACCTCCACCAACATCCCCTGACCCTATTTTCCCTATTTCAGGCATCCAAAGCTTGGCGCAAAAACAAGATGGATGAGTCAAAGCATGAGATCCACTCCCAAGTGGATGCCATCACTGCTGGCACAGCCTCGGTGGTCAACCTCACTGCAGGTACACGGGGGGTTGGAGAAGAGAAATGCCCCACCTCTGGAGAAGGCTTGGTCTCTCTTACCTGGCTGAAGGTCACAACTCCTGCGCTCCATCAGGAGGACCCAGCCTGCCCCAGCTAGAGCTAAATCAGCTCTGACTGCAGCTAACGTGCCTGTAGAGCCATCTATGCCCTTGCAGCTTGCCCTGCCTTCAGATGTCCCAACATCCCTGCCTGTCCCCAGCCCAGTCCTTCCTCCCAGTCCTTGGCTGACCTGCCGTCCTCTAAAGCAGGAACATGTTGTCCAGTCCCTGCCATAGCTCCAGGCACTGTGGATACAGCCATGGCATGGTGCAGCTCTCCTTCCCCAGGCTCTCCTGTCCATACTCAGCTGATGCAACCACTTTTCAGGCTTAGAAGCCAGGGGTTTTTTTCCCTAGTTCCCAGGAAGGAGGACCACAGCAGTGACAGGCTTAGGGATGCTCTTCAAGGATGTCCCATCCTGACTTATCTCCTCCCTGTGCAGGGGATCCGGCGGACACGGACTACACTGCCGTGGGCTGCGCCGTCACCACCATCTCTTCCAACCTGACGGAGATGTCCAAGGGCGTGAAGCTGCTGGCTGCGCTGATGGAGGATGAGGGAGGGAACGGGCGGCAGCTTCTGCAGGCAGCCAAGAACCTGGCAAGCGCCGTCTCGGACCTGCTGAAAACAGCACAGCCTGCCAGCGCTGAGGTGGGGGGCAGGAGGGGCTGTGGGGCCAACAGGAGGGTGGAAGCCGAGGGGAACTGTTGGGTGAGTTCTTAGGGCTTAACTCACGAACTTGGTGTTGCTTTTGCCTCGTTCCTCACAGCCTCGCCAGAACCTCCTGCAGGCTGCCGGCCTCGTGGGCCAGACCAGCGGGGAGCTGCTGCAGCAGATCGGGGAGAGTGACACCGACCCCCGCTTCCAGGTGAGTCCACCCGGCAGCACCCAGGGACAACCTTTCCCTGAAATCATCAGCCTTCACACAGGACCTGGCAGGAGGGCTCTGGGCCGAAGCTTGGCCAGTGACTTCACTGGGGGAGGGGACAGGCCGTTGCCCATCTCTGTCCCTAGAGCCGCTGCGATATAACGCCTCTTATCTTGTGGATTCCCATGTAGATCCCAGAAAGCCGGCGTGCTTGGATCCTGCCTGTCTCTGACCCAAAGACGGTAAAAGGGGGCTGTAGGCATGGCTTGGTGGTCCTTGCCCTCTCTGATGTGAGGGGTGCTCCTCTGGTGATGATCGGCTGAACTCTTTGGAGAAGGGCTCTTCTCAAAACCCTGCTTTTTCTGGTGATCAGCTCTCAGAAGTCCATGCACTCGGGTCACCACTCGGGCGAGCGCTGCCCTAGGAGTCCTCCCTCTGCTCCTGCCTGCCGTTCCCTGTCTGTGGGAGCTGCCTGCCTGCCCCCACCAGAGACCCAGGGCGGCTGGAGCCTCATGAGGTGGTTTACTTTGACTGAGCTGGCTTCCAGCTGGCTTGCTTTCCCACGACTGCTCCTTCCAGCACAAGGGAGGTAGAACACCGTGCTGGGGAGGAGGATCCAGACGTAGTATAGATCGAAACAGACTCCAGGAAGAAGGGTTTTCTGTTCACAGCTGCCATGCAGCCTCAACACGAGCAGAACAGCCTGGACGAGGGAGCCAAGGGGAGCAGAAAAGCCTGGATGGGGAGCCAAGGGGAGCAGAAAAGCCTGGGCAAGGGAGCCAAGGGGAGCAGAAAAGCTAGCACCTTGGCAGGGGCTGTGCATGGTCAGGCAGCAGTGCCAGGACAGGGCAGGCTCAACGGGTGGGTTTAGGGCCTGGAGGACAATTTCCTCACCTGCAGCCATGGCAGCTGCCAGACCCGAGTGTATCTACTTCCCTCTTTGAGCGCGGGTGCTGTGGTCTGGGGACTCTGGAGCTGGGTGCATGTGTTCTTTGGTCTCTCCTCCTGTCTGGAAAGGTGGTGGATTGCAGCAGGAGTAGTCTTGGCGTGCAGGAGGCGAGGGGAAGCTTCTGGCTTAGTGGCCGGTGGTTTAGTTGTCACCTGGTTTCTGTCCTTTAGCCTTCTCTCCTTTAGCCCCAGGAATGACAGCAGAGATGTAGCCTGTCACTAACGAGCTAGAAAATAGCTGACGTGCCTGCAGTACAGGTGACCAGCGTGGGCAGCCTCTCACTTGCCTCTCGATGGTGGGGTGAGCCCGTGGCAAGCAGCTGCTCCCGGTGTGGCTGTGCCGTGGCCAGCTTGTGCCTGCCATTTGGCCAGAGGGGTTTGTCATTTTTTTGGCCATTTAGCTTTGCAGCCCGTGCAGGCAGAGCCAGCAGTACCTTGCAGCAGGTTGTTGCTGTGGTGCCATCGGGGACTCGTCACAGGTTGTTGCCTGGGCAGTGGGCAAGAAGCAGGTCATGGATGTCGGGGTGATGCTCAGCATTGCCCGAGCTGCTCTGGGTGGTGGTGGTGGCAGTGCCACGCTGCAGGCTGTGGCTCAAGGCCAGGTTACAGCCTCACCGCCAGCTGTAGCGCACCATAGAGATGTGGTCAAGGTGTTGCCAGCCACTCCAGGTGTTCATGTTGCTGGTGCTGGGCCAGAGTGGATGGAAGGCCCCCAGAGAGCTCACATTTCCCCACTGAATATTTCACGAGAGCCCTGTGGGCGGCTGCTGATGCTCCTGCTCTTTAGTTCCTGCACTGACCCTCTCCATCATCCCCCCAGGACATGCTCATGCAGCTGGCAAAGGCGGTGGCCAGCGCTGCTGCCGCGCTGGTGCTCAAAGCCAAGAACGTGGCTCAGAAAACAGAGGACTCGGCTCTGCAGACGCAGGTGATCGCTGCAGCCACCCAGTGCGCCCTCTCCACCTCCCAGCTGGTGGCCTGCACCAAGGTAAGCAGCGAGGTTAACCCTTCCCTCAGCGTGGCTGCAAGTGCCACCGAGCTGGTGTCAGCTCCACGGTGTGTAGGTGTGCTGGGGCCACGTGTCCTCAGGTGTGGTGGTAAGGGTCTGCCACCAGTGGCTGGGGTCTCTGGCACTGTGCCCAAAGCACTGCATATACTTTTTGGAGGAGCAGAAGTTGGGGACAGCTGTCCCTGCACAGCTCTTACAGGGAGCCCACCATGCTCACTGCCCAGCTTTTCTCCTCCCCTCCAGGTTGTGGCTCCCACCATCAGCTCCCCGGTCTGCCAGGAACAGCTGATCGAGGCTGGCAAGTTAGTGGCCAAGTCAGCAGAGGGCTGCGTGGAGGCCTCCAAGGCGGCCACCAACGATGACCAGCTCCTGAAGCAGGTGGGGGTGGCAGCCACGGCTGTCACCCAGGCCCTAAACGACCTGCTGCAGCACATCAAGCAGCACGCCTTGGGCGGGCAGCCCATCGGGCGCTACGACCAGGCCACTGACACTATCCTCAACGTCACCGAGAACATATTCAGCTCTATGGGCGATGCTGGTGAGAGCAGCTGATGGCACCTGGGGTAGAGCACGTGGATGGGAAGGTATCAGTGAGCCCATCGGGCTTGCTAACAGGCCACCCTTCATTTCTGTCCCAGGGGAAATGGTGCGGCAGGCTCGTATTCTAGCCCAGGCCACCTCTGACCTTGTCAACGCCATCAAAGCTGATGCAGAGGGAGAAACAGACCTGGAGAACTCGCGCAAGCTGCTGAGTGCAGCCAAGATCCTGGCCGATGCCACTGCCAAGATGGTGGAGGCTGCAAAGGTCAGTGGCATGGGGGAAGATGGATGCTGGCTTTGGCCCCCAGCCCCATCCAACACCTTGGGCTTGGGGATGTGGAGGGGACAAGCAACCCTTGGGTGGGGGAGTAGTTCCCAGAGCAAGGTCCTACACTGAGCTGAGGACCTGTGCAATGGAGTGGGGCTCCTCCTAGAGCTGTGGGTGGCAGCAGAGGAGCTCTTAGCTCTTCTGGGGGTGTTCCCCAGCATCAGGCCAAAGCACAGCCGCTGCTTCAGGAGGACAAAGGACCCGGTGGTCCATGCACGGTGTGATGGGTTTCCTCTTTCTCCAGGGAGCCGCAGCCCACCCGGACAGCGAGGAGCAGCAGCAGCGGCTGCGTGAGGCAGCGGAGGGGCTCCGCATGGCCACCAACGCCGCAGCCCAGAATGCCATCAAGAAGAAGCTGGTGCACAAGCTGGAGGTGAGATGCCAGGCAAGGGGGCCATGGAGGGCAAGCAGGCACAGTCAGTAAGCGAGACCCAGCCAGGAGCCCCTGCAACCCTGCAATTTTTTAGAGGGATAAAGTCCTTTTGATGTACAGTGTCCATGCTGCATCCTGCAGGGACCTCCCCATTGCTCCTTCTCCTTCCCCTGTGCACACCCTGTCACTCTGGGATGCCGGGCACTGCGGGTGCTGGGGATGCTCTGGTGTCACAGGCAGGGGCATGGGAGGAGAAGTTTAGAGGGATCTGTGCCCTGGTGGGTGGCAGGAGGGTTCAGGGCAGGCTGCTAACCCCCGTCTCTCCCCGCCAGCACGCAGCCAAGCAAGCTGCTGCCTCCGCCACCCAGACCATCGCCGCTGCACAGCACGCTGCGTCCTCCAACAAGAACCCAGCCGCCCAGCAGCAGCTGGTGCAGAGCTGCAAGGTAAGACCCCTCAGGCCTGATCCTGGTGTCTCCTGTGCCGCCTCTCCCCATCCTTTATCCTGGGCTGCATCAAAAGAAGTGTGGCCAGCAGGTTGAGGGAGGTGATTCTGCCTCTCTGCTCTGGTGAGACCCCACCTGTAGTACTGCATCCAGATCTAGAGCCCTCAGCATAGGAAGGACATGGACCTGATAGAAAAGGTCCAGAGGAGGGCCACGAAGATGATCAGAGGGCTGAAGCACCTCTGCTATGAGGCTGAGAAAGTTGGGGTTGTTCAATCTGGAGAAGAGAAGACTCCAGGGAGACCTTATAGCAGCCTTCCAGTACCTAAAGAGGCCTACAGGAGAGATGGGGAGGAACTCTTTATGAGGGAGTGTAGCGATAGGACGAGGGATAATGGTTTTAAACTGAACAAGGGGAGATTTAGATTAGATATTGGGAAGAAATTCTTTATTGTGAGGATGGTGGAACAGGTTGTCCAGAGATGCTGTGGATGTCCCCTTCCTGGACGCGTTTAAGGCCAGGGTGAATGGGGCTTTGAGCAACCTGGTCTAGTGGGAGGTGTCCCTGCCCAGGGCAGGGGGTTGGAACTCAATGGTCTTTAAGGTTCCTTCCAACCCAAACCGTTCTATGATTCTATGGTTTCCATCAGCTGTGCTGAGGTTCCATGCTTGGCTGCAGTGGGCAGACCTTTGGGTCCTCACACAGCTCACCCGGGAGCCGATCTTTTGATTACTGGTCCTGGATTAGATCTGTCTCCTCCCAGCCCAGCCTCTGCAGTGACCCTTCTCTCTGGCAGGTGGTGGCAGAGCAGATCCCGATGCTGGTGCAGGGTGTACGAGGAAGCCAGTCCCAGCCGGACAGCCCCAGTGCCCAGCTGGCTCTTATTGCTGCCAGCCAGAACTTCCTGCAGGTACCCACAGTGTCCAGAGCCTCCCATGCCGGCTCTGTCACTGACGTTACAGCTTTTGTACTCTGCCTGGCCCTCCTGAGAAACCTACTGTGGGCGGGCAGCAGAAAGACGCTGCATGTTTGTCCCCTTCTCATGGCTTTTTCTTTTGGCCCGGCAGCCCGGTGGGAAGATGGTAGCTGCAGCCAAGGCCACTGTCCCCACCATCACCGACCAAGCCTCCGCGATGCAGCTCAGCCAGTGTGCCAAGAACTTGGCCGCGGCTCTGGCCGAGCTCCGCACGGCCGCCCAGAAGGTGAGAGGTTGGGTCCCATCCTGTGGTGGCATCCCGGCTGTGCAGAGCCGGTGGGGATAGTGGAGATGTTCCGGTGGCAGGTCTCAGCCTCTGCCGTGGCAGGGTGGGCTTGATGGTTGCCTTGCTCACCTTCCGTTCTTCCCCATCGCAGGCTCAGGAGGCGTGTGGACCCCTGGAGATCGACTCTGCGCTGGGTCTCGTGCAGAGCCTGGAGAGGGACTTGCAGGAAGCCAAGGCAGCTGCCCGCGATGGAAAGCTCAAGCCTCTGCCTGGAGAGACGGTGAGGGCACTGGGAAGGGGTGATGCAGGGTGGGTGCTGGTGTGGTGGGATGGTCACAGGGGTGGAGGCTGGAGGTGTACAGCCCACCAGCATGTCCTTGCTCATCCCTCCACAGATGGAGAAGTGTGCCCAGGACCTGGGGAACAGCACAAAAGCTGTCAGCTCTGCCATCGCTCACCTCCTGGGAGAGGTGGCCCAGGGCAACGAGAACTACACAGGTACTGGCCTCCGCGCTGGGGCTTGGGAGGGGGGAGGCGGCCATGTCAGCAACCACTGACCTCTCTGTTTCCCCAGGGATTGCTGCCCGAGATGTGGCCCAGGCCCTGCGCTCGCTCAGCCAGGCTGCCCGTGGTGTGGCGGCCAGCACTCCCGACCCGCAGGCACAGAGCGCCATGCTGGACTGCGCCAGCGACGTCATGGATAAAGCCAACAACCTCATCGAGGAGGCGCGGAAAGCGGTGGCCAAGCCTGGTGACCCGGAGAGCCAGCAACGCCTGGCCCAGGTATGGGGAGTGGTGCCCCCTGACAGCCCACAGGAAGGGCATGGGGCTGGCCAAGGAGGATGGTGACCGTGACCGCTCTTTTCTTGTCTGCAGGTGGCCAAGGCGGTGTCACAGGCCCTGAGCCGCTGCGTCAACTGCCTGCCTGGGCAGCGGGACGTGGATGCTGCCATCCGCATGGTGGGAGAGGCCAGCAAGAAGCTGCTCGCGGATTCGGTGAGCTGAGCAGGGGTGGGAGGGGAAGGGGGAAGCCTTGTAGGGATGCAACCGGTCCATCCACACCAGGTTCCTCTGTAGCATATCCACAGGCGTGTGCCAGACCTTCATCCTCCACCTCCATCCTCCTCGCTACCTCTCCTAACCCCTCTCTCTGTCTCCAGTTCCCTCCCAGCACCAAGAGCTTCCAGGAGGTGCAGAGCCAGCTGAACCGGGCGGCTGCGGGGCTCAACCAGTCTGCCAACGAACTGGTGCAGGCGTCGCGTGGCACCCCTCAAGACCTGGCCAAGTCCTCCGGCAAATTTGGGCAGGACTTCAATGAGTTCCTGCAGGCAGGAGTGGAGATGGCCAGCCAGTCCCCGGTGAGAGCAAGCACCCGTTTTGGGGGATCCTGGGTATGGTGAGAGGTTTGGGGTGGCTTGGTGGGGTGGCTGTGGCCAACACAACAGGTGAGATGGGGTCTGGGACTGAAAAAACACAGCAGCAGCGAGAAAGTGGCTTGGGCTTGTTCAGCAAGTATCTGCCGTATCCTTGAAAACCAGCAGAGAAGACCCAGGGTGGGTGTGGAGCTTGGAAACCTGCAGCAGATAACTTGTCTTGGCTCCTTGCAGAATAAGGAAGATCAGGCACAGGTGGTGTCGAACTTGAAGAGCATCTCCATGTCCTCCAGCAAGCTGTTGCTGGCGGCAAAGGCGCTCTCCGCCGACCCCACCGCCCCCAACCTGAAGAACCAGCTGGCAGCAGCGGCACGGTAGGAGGACCTCTTCCCTGTGAGCTCCTTGCTGTAGCAGTGGGGCAGGGTGGTGGAGCTGGTGTTGATCCATGGATCTTTCTCCCTTGTCCCTGGCAGGGCTGTGACTGATAGCATTAACCAGCTGATCACCATGTGCACCCAGCAGGCCCCAGGCCAGAAGGAGTGCGACAATGCCCTGCGAGAGCTGGAGGTGAGAACCCACATCTTCATGAAGCAGTGGAGCGGCTGAGATGGCTGGGGGGCTGAGTTGGTGGGGAAGGGGAAACTGCACCCTTCTGCGAGGGGCAGGAGGGAGCAAAGAGGGGGTGCACATGGAGGACGTGGACCCTCACCTTGGCTGTGACACCCATGTTCCTACAGACGGTGAAGGAGCTGTTGGAGAACCCCACCCAGACCGTCAATGACATGTCCTACTTCAACTGCCTTGACAGTGTCATGGAAAACTCCAAGGTGAGCCCTGAGCTGGAGGTGGAGGTCTGGGGAAGGAAAGGGGGGGTTTAGGAATGACGTGGGAGCAAAGGGAGCGGTGGTTCCTTCCCTGTTGATGAAGCACAGTGAGCTCTGAGCGTGGGAGCATGTTGTGGGGGTGGGAGGTGATTTTCTAACCGGTGCACCGTGTGTCCTCCAGGTGCTGGGCGAGTCCATGGCTGGCATCTCCCAGAATGCCAAGAACAGCAAACTGCCCGAGTTCGGCGACTCCATCAGCGCCGCCTCCAAAGCTCTCTGCGGGCTGACGGAGGCAGCTGCCCAGGTGAGACATGCTCAGTCCCAGCCCTGTTACCCCTGGTGCGTAGTTGCCATACACACCTCTCCCCTGTCCCTCAAAGCCTGGCCCCGTGGTACGGTGCTGCCAGCCCCCTCCGCAGCCCGTGCCTGCTCTGAGCTTCTCCCCTGTGCATGAGTTCTCACCACCTCTCTTGTGCTCCCAGGCTGCCTACCTCGTGGGGGTATCGGACCCCAACAGCCAGGCTGGACAGCAGGGCTTGGTAGACCCCACTCAGTTTGCCAGAGCTAACCAAGCTATCCAGATGGCCTGCCAGAACCTGGTGGACCCTGCCTGCACCCAGTCCCAGGTGAGTGTGAGCTGGGGAACCATTACAGGCATGTTCTTGCATGAAAGGGAGTGTGAAGCTAGCTGGAAGAGCTGCATCCCAAGGGTTGGCCAAGATTATGGCTTGTGTCTCATCAGGCCCCATCAGCTCTACTGGGAGCCAGCTGGCACCTTTGGTGCAACAGTGACAGTCCAGACTGGGGGCTGTATGGGTGTGTAGGACCTTGACGATCCTTCTTGGGTCCCAGGAGGGATTCTGTCCTCACGGGTGTCCCATGTGGGGCTGGTGGGAAGGGAGAGCTGTCGGGGTGGGAAGTCATGGTGGATCCTGCCTCACCCTGCTCTTCCCCACAGGTGCTGTCAGCAGCCACCATCGTAGCGAAGCACACCTCGGCCCTGTGCAACACTTGCCGTGTGGCCTCCTCCCGCACCGCCAACCCTGTGGCCAAGCGCCAGTTTGTCCAGTCAGCCAAGGAGGTGGCCAACAGCACGGCCAACCTGGTGAAGACCATCAAGGTGCGGTCTCCCTGCTGGGGGACTGTGGTGGGGATGGGATTTGGGCCATGGTGGGGGTTGGATAACTGCTCTGGTCTCTCCACACCAGGCCCTGGATGGCGAATTCAACGAGGAGAACAGGGAGCGGTGCCGCGCAGCCACTGCCCCTCTCATCGAGGCTGTGGATAACCTGACCGCCTTCGCCTCCAACCCGGAGTTTGCCACCGTTCCTGCCCAGATCAGCCCAGAGGTGGGATGCTACAGGGGCAGGGAGGACATGGCCTGGCCAGTGATGGGGGCTGCTGAAGGGTGAGGAGGAGCTCTGCCTCCTTCTGAGCTTGGGATGGACCCCCAGTGTGGGGCTGGTGCCTTGGGAGGGTGTGATGGGAAGGTGGTGGCAAGCCTTGGGCTTCAAAGGGTTGCTCCAAGGTGAGGGTCATGGGGGCGGAGGTAACTTTCCAGGCACAGTCCCTCACATGCATCACCAATCCATCGTCTCCTCACACAGGGACGCAGAGCCATGGAGCCCATTGTCTCTTCAGCCAAGACCATGCTGGAGAGCTCTGCTGGCCTCATCCAGACTGCCCGCTCTCTGGCCGTCAACCCCAAGGACCCACCACAATGGTCAGTGCTGGCCGGCCACTCTCGCACTGTCTCCGACTCCATCAAGAAGCTGATCACCAACATGAGGTGAGGCGAGTCCTGTGTGCTTGGCCATGGCCCCATCCCTGCTGGCAGGTACCCCTGCTCTGAACCAGCATCCCTGGGGATGTTTGGGCTCATCTTCTCCTTGGCTACTGCCGGTGGGTGAAGGCAAAGGATGGGACAGAAGATATTGTCCCACTTGTTCTGTGCAGGAGCTGCTCCTCCAGCTCTGGCATGGGTTGATGGTAACTCATGCCAGCATGCCTGGGCTTTATGACTCTGTGCTGCCCCAAAGCTTGGGAGGGGGTCCTGTCCCTCACCATCACTAGCTTTGTCTGGGGGCAAAAGGGTGGCGTAGCAACTGCCAGCACTAGGCTGATCCATCTGTCACGCAGGGACAAAGCTCCAGGACAGCGGGAATGCGATGAGGCCATCGAGGTCCTCAACAGATGCATGCGGGAGGTGGACCAGGCCTCCCTTGCTGCCATCAGCCAGCAGCTGGCCCCCCGAGAAGATATCTCCCAGGAGGTGAGTTGGGAACGTGCTGCTGCAAGCTGAACAGGGCCGGGCATCCCTCCCCTTGACTCCCAGCAGCTCATGGAGACCTCAGCCCTGCTGAATCCTCACACAATTTCTATTTGCAACAGGCTTTGCACAACCAGATGATCACAGCTGTCCAGGAGATCAGCAACCTGATTGAGCCCGTGGCCAGCGCGGCACGGGCTGAGGCCTCGCAGCTGGGGCACAAGGTAACGTGGGGATGGGCCAGGGAGCTGCTGATGAGGCACTTGGTGCACATGGAGGAGCTCACAGTGGGAGGAGAGGTGCGAGACAGCCAGGCTGGAAGCTGCTGGTGCTGATTGCTGCTCTTCCCTAGGTGTCCCAGATGGCTCAGTACTTCGAGCCACTCATTATGGCGGCTATCGGTGCTGCCTCCAAAACGCCCAACCACCAGCAGCAGATCCATCGAGGTCCTCAACAGATGCATGCGGGAGGTGGACCAGGCCTCCCTTGCTGCCATCAGCCAGCAGCTGGCCCCCCGAGAAGATATCTCCCAGGAGGTGAGTTGGGAACGTGCTGCTGCAAGCTGAACAGGGCCGGGCGTCCCTCCCCCTAACTCCCAGCAGCTCATGGAGACCTCAGCCCTGCTGAATCCTCACACAATTTCTATTTGCAACAGGCTTTGCACAACCAGATGATCACAGCTGTCCAGGAGATCAGCAACCTGATTGAGCCTGTGGCCAGTGCAGCACGGGCTGAGGCCTCGCAGCTGGGACACAAGGTAACGTGGGGATGGGCCAGGGAGCTGCTGATGAGGCACTTGGTGCACATGGAGGAGCTCACAGTGGGAGGAGAGGTGCGAGACAGCCAGGCTGGAAGCTGCTGGTGCTGATTGCTGCTCTTCCCTAGGTGTCCCAGATGGCTCAGTACTTCGAGCCACTCATTATGGCGGCTATCGGTGCTGCCTCCAAAACACCCAACCACCAGCAGCAGATGAACCTCCTGGACCAGACCAAAACGCTGGCCGAGTCTGCACTGCAGATGCTCTACACAGCCAAGGAGGCTGGTGGGAACCCCAAGGTGAGCTGGAGGGTCACATATCAGTGGTGTGCTCCCCTTCACACGTGGGTGTCTTATGGTGGACACGGGGTAAGTGTGCACCATCCCTGTCATGATGTCTGCCTTCCCTCACTCTGGCTTATCTTTGCAGCAAGCTGCCCACACCCAGGAGGCTCTGGAGGAGGCCGTGCAGATGATGAAGGAAGCAGTGGAGGACCTGACCACCACCCTGAACGAGGCAGCCAGTGCTGCAGGTGTTGTGGGGGGCATGGTGGACTCCATCACCCAGGCCATCAACCAGGTGAGTGGAGCATGGAGTGGACCTGGCCAGGGCTGGGGTTGAGGGAGAGGAAAACTCATAGTTAAACCCTACAAGGTCTCTGGGCTGGGGCTGGAGTCAAAGTCTCCCGATGGTCTCTTGCAGCTGGATGAGGGGCCAATGGGCGAGCCAGAGGGGACCTTTGTGGATTACCAGACTACGATGGTGAAGACAGCCAAGGCCATTGCAGTGACTGTGCAGGAGATGGTGGGTGCAAGCAAGCCTGTCACTGTAGAAAGCACTGCCTGCCACCCAGGCAGGGCAACCACCTTCCTTGTTTGCCCATCCCACCACAGAGCCCCTCTAAATCCTGCTCTTTTTCATTTGGCAGGTCACCAAATCCACCACCAACCCAGACGAGCTGGGTATACTGGCCAACCAGCTCACCAACGACTACGGGCAGTTGGCACAAGAGGCCAAGCCAGCTGCCCTCACCGCTGAGAACGAGGAGGTGCGAGCATGGGGAGGGAGAGCTGGAGTGTGCCGTGGGGCAGAGCAGGGTCTGCTGGTGTGGGAGAGCAGAGGACAGGGGCACCCAAACCTCCTCTTGGAGCTGGGGGCAGGCAGCATTCACACCTCCCCTGTGAGATGGTGTGGAAACGTGGAGCAAAGCCATGTTTCCTTCTTCCCCCTGCTGAGTGGGAGGACTGGGAGAGGGGAGCTGGGTGGAGGTGGCTGGTGCTTCCCAGTGACTATCGTGGATGCGGGGGCTTAGTTCCCTGTTGGCTCCCTCACACACGTGTTCCCCTCCAGATCGGCTCCCACATCAAGCGCCGGGTGCAGGAGCTGGGTCATGGCTGTGCTGCCCTGGTCACCAAGGCTGGAGCCCTGCAGTGCAGCCCCAGCGATGCCTACACCAAGAAGGAGCTGATAGAGAGTGCGCGCAAGGTTTCCGAGAAGGTAGGTGGTCCAGAGAGAGGGGTGATAGCATGGCAAGGTGGGAGGGATGCTGGATTGAGCCATGTGCCCTTGGAGCCTCCATGCTAGGTTCTCCCCTGGTTCCTGTTGGTCTCTCAGCCATGCTCGCCCTGCCCAGCTGACAGGGTGGAGGATGGATCCCCCTCTCCATAACAGCAGCTGGTACTGTGATGGATAAGTGTGATATCCAGGTGCTGCCTGCTGATGGCCTGCCCAGGGGACACTGATCCATGCACTGGTGGCATCCCAGGGCTCCCCAAATCATCTCTTGCAGCGGTGGGCGTAGCGGTTGCTGCATCTCCAGCCAAGCCTGCAGCTTGTGCTGGATGATCGATCTCCCCTTCATCTTTTTCTGGTGTGGTAGAAAACCTCCTGTCCATCAGTCAGTTTAAACATACTTCTGAATAACAGATGAAAATATGGCTAAAAAACGCTAGTGGATAAGGCAGTGGTAGAGTAGCAAGGCTTTTAAGCGAGAGTACAAAAGCAAAACACTTGTTTGTAGTGCCTGGCACATGCCTGCATATCCATCCTTTCCAAGATTGCTTTCCAATAGAAAACTAGTTCTCCTATGAGTGCCTGCCCAAGTGCAGAAATTGAGTTTAGCAGCTGAAGAAGGAATATGAGCTGCAATGTTCCAATGCCCATCATGTAAACCTTTTTCATTTGGAAACTAGCAGAGTCCAATATCTTCTGGATCCCCCAAAACAATAGGTACAGGGTAAAAATAAAGAAATAGAAGCTAAGAAGGGGTGTCCAAACCACACAATTCCCAGTTCCTCTCTTTGGTGTGAAGCGGCTTCCTCCTGGGAGGTGTCAGAGGATGTGTGTGGTGGAAGTTGACTGAACTTGCTCTGCTCCCCAGTGACCAACCCTCCTCCTACCCCACAGGTGTCTCACGTGCTGGCAGCCCTGCAGGCTGGGAACCGTGGGACACAAGCCTGCATCACGGCAGCCAGCGCTGTCTCTGGCATCATTGCTGACCTCGACACCACCATCATGTTTGCCACAGCAGGAACCCTCAACCGGGAGAACTCTGAGACCTTCGCTGACCACAGGTACCTGGGCACCTCATCCAGCCTCTGCTCAGCCAGCCATGGGGGGACAGGTTATGTCCCATGGTCTTTCTGAGCTGTGGGCCAGCCCCAAGGAGACCTGCAAGTTCAGGTCACCCTCACTCACTGTTTCCCCTTCAAGTTGGTACATACAAAAAGCAGGGTCTTCAGTCTCTCTACACCCCAAGGACCATGTGTGCATGTAGAGGGCTATGTCCTCTCTGACTCCCTTCTTCTTCCCAGGGAGGGCATCTTGAAGACGGCTAAGGCGCTGGTGGAGGACACCAAGGTGCTGGTGCAGAACGCCACGGCCAGCCAGGAGAAGCTAGCTCAGGCTGCCCAGTCCTCTGTGTCCACCATCACCCGCCTGGCAGAGGTGGTGAAGTTGGGTGCCGCCAGCCTGGGATCTGAAGACCCGGAGACTCAGGTAGGATGGGGTGTGTGGAGTGAGTGGGGACTTCTCGTAACTTGCTTGAGGGGGTTGAGTGGTGCTCAGGGCTGGATCCTGCATGTTGTGGAGAGGGTTGGCTGGGGTTTGGCTGGTGCTGGCTGAGCTGGACTCCCTTTGTGCTCTGGGGTGCCCAGATTTCTCACTGCTGGGCCACACTGCCACCAGCCTGAGTGTGACAGTAGCCAAGCCATTGCCCTGGCCTTGCTCTCCCCAGGTGGTCCTGATCAACGCTGTGAAGGATGTGGCCAAGGCACTTGGAGACCTGATCGGTGCCACCAAGGCAGCTGCTGGCAAAGCTGGGGATGACCCTGCTGTCTACCAGCTGAAGAACTCTGCCAAGGTTTGACCTGGGTGTGATGTGAAGGAGGGGGTGGGGCAGGGCAGGCTGGAGAAAGAGCAGGGGGGGCTTCTCTTCCTGTCTGCGAGCAGGAGGACAACTGAGAGGCACAGAGTAGGAAGGGAATGCATATAAAGTGGGTCACAGCATGCAGAGGAGGCATTGGTGGGAGAACAATATGAAGTGGTGTGAGTGGAGTATGGGGATAGAGCCGTTTTGGACCAAACCAGGGGGGAGGGACAGGTGCTGGCAGCAGCCCAGAGCTTGCGTGGGGTTTCACCTGGCTCTTTTCCCCTTCCACAGGTGATGGTGACAAACGTCACTTCCTTGCTGAAGACGGTGAAGGCTGTTGAGGACGAGGCCACAAAAGGGACACGGGCGCTGGAGGCCACGATAGAGCACATCCGCCAGGAGCTGGCAGTGAGTACAGCCCCGGTGCTGTGGCTGATGTCCCTCCTGGTGGCTGCCCCACACCTCACTGCCACCTCTCCCCTCGCAGGTCTTCTCCTCCCCGGTGCCTCCTGCCAAGGTCTCCACCCCGGAGGACTTCATCCGTATGACGAAAGGCATCACCATGGCCACAGCCAAAGCGGTGGCCGCTGGCAACTCATGTCGACAGGAGGACGTCATCGCCACAGCCAACCTGAGCCGCCGCGCCATCGCGGACATGCTGCGTGCCTGCAAGGTGGGGTGGGCAGGGTCTAGCATGGGTTTGTGGGTGCCAGCAAGGATGGTACTGGATGTGAACCCGGGCTTCCCTGTCTCCTGGCTTTCAGGAAGCCGCCTACCACCCGGAGGTGAGCGGGGACGTGCGGCAGCGGGCGCTGCGCTTTGGCAAGGAGTGCGCCGATGGCTACCTGGAGCTGCTGGAGCACGTGCTGGTGGTGAGTGTCCCCACCCCGGTTCCTGGGGTGGACAGAGGCTGCCCGTGGATGCCAGGGTGCTCCTCAAATCCCCAAGGTCCTCTGGGCTCTGCACCTCCCACTGAGGTTTTTGCACAGCCTCCTTCGCGGCCGGTGCTGGCACGGCATGTGGCCGAGCCCCTGCCATGGAAGCAGATGTCAGAGAGATGAACAGGCTCTGAAGAAAGGTATTTGGCTAACAACAGACGGAGATTAACTGCCTGTAAACAGATGGAGGCTGGAAATTCGACAACACGGGAGCAAAATCCCGAAGCAGCTTCCAGTAAAAGTGGTGGGAGTAAGAGGCTTCAGGCAGTGTGAAAACAGAGCTTGTTAAGCTCAGAGCAGAGTGGGAGACAGGCAGTGCCCACGACAACAGAGGTGATGACTGCAAGTGCCAGCTGCACCCTTTTGATCCAGTCTTCCTCTGTCGGAGTCCTCCTGAGGACTTCAGCTGCCTGCTTTAATTAGCTGTCCTGCAAGATGAGTGTGGTTTCACAAGAAGCAAATTAGTAGGGCAGTGGAAAGGATGCAGTGAGGGCCTTCCAGCGGTTTGCATTCTTGGCAAGATCTCAAAGGTGGAGTCGAGGGCACTGGAGGGATGGACAGACGCAGCCCGCGGAGCTGCAGGAGCCCTCGAGATGGAGTTTAGGACAAAGACTGAGGGCGAGTCCAGTCTGCAGCAAGGTCTCACTGAGCTGGTTGAAAGGGCTTGGTGAGAGTGTGCCGTTCAGGTTCACCAGTTACGAGGTGGTGGGGCTCAGACTGTGGTTTCCTGCAGGGAAAGTCCCTTTAGGCAGAGGGCAACCAGCCCTGCAGCACAAAGAGGAGGCGGGCAGGACTCGATGGGTGGAAATTGAAGCTGGGTGGAGGGGAAGTCAAAGGGTGGTTTTATTCGAAGGAGGTAACCGCTGGGGTACAGTTCCAAGGGGAGCAGTGAGTTTTCCGTCCTCTGCAACTAGATCAAATGTCTGGAAGATGCTTTAGCCACACATAAGTCATGGCAGCCAAGGCTGGAGGGCTGAGGAGGAATTCTCTGGCTGACCTGTTGTTAACAGATGATTGGGCTAATGACTTACTGTGGCAGAGCCAGAGGTCACCCTACTTGCAGGAGCAAGTGGTTCTAGGTGGCACTGTATTTTGGATGTAACCATCCAGCTGCTTTGTAACATCTCTTGAGTATCATACATTGGTACATCCCATGAAACATTCACTGGAGTTGCATCTTAGTAAGCTCATAGCCTCCAGGGTGCCTTCAGATCCAGACAGAGACCATTTAGCAGTTTTAAACACATTGTCAGAGTGGGTAGAAGACTTAATAATGTGTCGTTTAGTCTGGATGTGCTTATGAGACCACGCATCACTGTGTGCCGTAAGCTGGGGCACTCCAACCCGTGTGCAGCTCTGGTGACTTTGCTGGGATGGCCCCATGCATGTCCAGGATAGAACCCTGACCCCCCCTGCCCCCAGCCTCTGCAGTACTCCGGTTTGTAAAGGCAGGAACATCGTGTGGGTCATGTTTATCAGAGGGCAGCAGGTTCCTGGGAAGCCGGGAGCAGGAAGGAGGTGGGGGAATGGGAGGGGAGATGGAGGATGCGATGCTGCCCCGCTCCCCGGCAGCAGCAGGTCCATTGCTCTATGCTGGGTCCCCACAGGAAACAGTGCCTGGCACAGAGTACGGATGAATGTGGTTATGGCTCGAGAAAGAGGGTTGTTTGGGATGGAAAACGTGGCTCCCGGCAGAGGAGTGGGAAAGCCTGCATATTTCACTGGGGAGGGGAAGGAATTTGAGTCTCCACGGGGACTTGGTATTTGGTAACGATAGGACTCTCCCTCCAAAAGCAGAGAGATCTGGTGGCTGAGAACTGCAGGGAAGCCAATTCAGGGTGGGGAGAAATAAGGCGTTAAGAGGGGCGAGGAGGAGAGCGGCTCCGTGGCTGCTCTGGGTGTAGGTGGCTCCGGCTGTGGGACCCTCATCCAGGTGCCCCAGATCCCTGGCCCTGCGAGGCTGAAGTCTGAGCTCACGATGGCAGCACAGCTCCCCACCTGGGACCTCTGATCCTTTGTTCCCACCTCTCCTCTTGGCTGCCCTTCACCCCTCACCGGAGAGCACCCACCTCCCCCTGCCCTCCCCGTGCCCCCCAGCGCCCGCGTGTCCCGGCCAGGGCGTTCACTGCTTTCTTCTCTCTCTTCTCCCTCCCTCCCTGTCAGCCGGTGAGTAAGGCGACATTGGGGTGCCTGCTGGTGTCTAACCTCAGCATGAGCCTTGCTCACGGCGTGTCTGTGTGCCCGGCCCAGTGCTGGGGTGGCACTTGCGTGTGTCCTCCGGGACCCTGGGGTCCATGTGTGCGTGTGTACTCACACCCGCTCTAGCTGATGGGCAGCTGCCGCCTGTGCTGCGTGGGTCAGGCCAGCGGTGAGCTCTGCTTGTGCAAACGGACCCTGTGTGTGTGCACACGTGTGTGCTGTGGTGTGTGCATGTGTCCTCCCCCACCCTGGTGACCCTCATGGCTCTGCCTGCCACCTTGTCCCAGCGGCGCCAGCCCTCCTGGGCTGTGACATGGCTCCAGGGTCACCAATCCCCCTTTGCCCAGCTTGTGTTTGCAGACAAATCTCCAAAATGGGGACAGCAAGAGGGAAATGCTTCTGGAGCTTGAAATGCTTTGGGGGGAGGAAGAAATCCTGGAGGGGGGTACCTGCTGAGTGCTGGTGGGTCTTGTATCTGCGAGGTGCCCCAGAAGCTGTGGTTGCAGAAGGGCTTAAGGGGAAGCTCATCCCATCCCAAAGCAGGAAGAGACCAGCCAGGGTCACCTGAGAAAGCACCAGAGGCAACACCTGATTTGTAGACACTCATGGGGGAGCTGGAGGATCCCACCCTCCTTCCCTGGGGAGCGTGCCCTGAGCAGACCTTTGAGGTCCCCCTTTTCTAGGTGCTTACATCTGCCCCTTCCCCGCAGATCCTGCAGAAGCCGACTCACGAGCTGAAGCAGCAGCTGGCGGGCTACTCCAAGCGCGTGGCCAGCTCCGTCACCGAGCTCATCCAGGCAGCCGAGGCCATGAAAGGTAAGGAAAGGTCCTGCTCAAAGGGGCCGAACCCAGGGCTGGGATTAGGGTGGAGGGCTTAGCAGCCGATGGGGGAGGTAGGGCGAGTCGGAAGTGAGGCCACACGCAAGGTTTAACCTGCCTGGCTTCCTGGTTTTCCTAGGGACGGAGTGGGTTGACCCAGAAGACCCCACTGTCATCGCTGAGAACGAGCTGCTGGGGGCAGCAGCTGCCATTGAGGCTGCAGCCAAGAAGCTGGAGCAGCTGAAACCGAGAGCCAAGCCCAAGGTAGCGGTGCTGAGCCTTGGCTGACCCCTGTGCTCAGCTTGGGGTGGGCTGGGGCTCTCCTGCCTGTGCTTCAGCCAGGTCTGAAGCCCCATCTGACAGCTGGTCCCTCTTGCTGTCTCCCACACCCCCAGCTGGACTTTCCTTGGGCAACCCACGCTCTCCTGCATCTCACAGCTCTTAATCCAGCTTTATACGTGCCCCCTCAAGCCCCCGCAGCCATCATCCTGCTCTGCTCTGTCTGTCCCAGCATCCCTGCCTGAGACTCAAACCTTGCTTTTCCCCACAGCAAGCAGACGAGAGCCTGAACTTCGAGGAGCAGATCCTGGAAGCTGCCAAATCCATTGCTGCAGCCACGAGCGCCCTGGTGAAGGCAGCCTCAGCGGCCCAGCGAGAATTAGTGGCCCAAGGAAAGGTAAGGCTGCAAGAAGGAAAGAAATAAGAACACGTAGGGCTGTGGTGGGCTCTCTCTTCTCCAGGAGCTGCTTGTAGCCCTCATGCCCCATGGCAAGGCGTGCACAAGGTGGTGAGCCTCACTCCTCCTGTCCTTCCTCACAGGTGGGCGCCATCCCCGCCAATGCAGTGGATGATGGACAGTGGTCCCAGGGACTCATTTCAGCCGTGAGTATCAAGGTTATGCTCAGGGGATGGGGGGGACCTTCTCTGGCAGGTCTGCCCTTGCACTTCTCCTCAGCAGAAGAAGCAGCCATGCTTCTTGCTCCCTATCCCACCAGCTGAGACATGACATGGAAGCTGGTTCTCACCATCCCATGTCCCACGATCTCCTTGGGGGATTGGTCAGGGGGAGGATCCCATACCCTCCCTGACAGCCTCTCTCTCTGCAGGCCCGCATGGTGGCCGCTGCCACCAACAACCTGTGCGAAGCCGCCAATGCAGCGGTGCAGGGCCATGCCAGCGAGGAGAAGCTCATCTCGTCTGCCAAGCAGGTGGCTGCCTCCACGGCACAGCTCCTGGTGGCCTGCAAGGTGAAGGCTGACCACGATTCGGAGGCCATGAAGCGACTCCAGGTGAGTCCCAGGCCGCCCCTCTCCTCCCAGCTGCTCAAGGGGGTGGGTGGGAGTGGGGTGAGGGCGCATGGGTGCTCCCCAGGGCTGCGTGCCACCAGTGGGATGCTCATTGGAGCACAAGCTCCAGGTTGATTGGACTTCACTGCTAATTGCGTGCCAGGCGTGTGGGTGATGCTGGGCTCCTGAGCCCAGTGGCATTCAGGGATGATGAACGGGCACAGGAATGCCTGAAATGTGTCCACTGCATCATTGGTATTTGGGAGGTTAATGTTTGGGGGACACGTTACGTAGTACCCTTAATCCTCAGAGGCCATGGCACACAAGAGGTTAATGCACATGCACTGGGGGAGTTAACATGGGGTCCCAGCTCTGGTCTCTCACGGCAGGGGGTGTCCCCCAGTCCCTGCCCCACGGCTCAGACAGGAGCCAGAGCCCAGCTGGGAGCAGCAGCGCCTGAAATGGTCATGAGCGGGTGGCAAGGCAGCGAGCCATGTAAAGGAATCCCTGCCTGCTGCTCCTGGCGTGCCTGGCTGCCTCTCCTGCCTGCCAGCCCGGCCTCGGGCAGGGGTTCTTTGACAAGAGCCCCCCACTCAACAAGCAGCATTCGTACCCAGGGGCTGTGATTTAACACTGCTGTTCCCCCCTTCCCTGCTGCAGGCTGCCGGCAATGCGGTGAAGAGAGCGTCGGACAATCTGGTGAAGGCAGCACAGAAGGCAGCTGCCTTCCAGGACCATGACGAAACAGTGGTGGTGAAGGAGAAGATGGTCGGGGGAATTGCACAGGTGAGGAGCGGGGCTGCTCTTGGTGGGGCAGGAGAGGCTCTGGCTGCCACAACGACCCGTGTGTGCCTGTCTCAGGAGCGAGTCCTACCACCCAGCAGCACGGGGCATGTCTCCAGAGCCTCACAAAAACCCTGTGCCACCCAATTAGACACTGTGGCTGCATCCTCGTGCTGCCACGTGTAGCAGCGGGCACAGCCAGTGATGGTACACGCTCCTAGGAGTGTCGTGCCCTCGTTTTTCACACCATGCCCATGATACACGTGAAGGGCAGAGCATTGAGTAGGGGGGGAGAGCTGCCCGGTATGGCATGCCATGTGTCCCAGCGCTGCCTCCTGGCCACAGGCTCGTAGCTGAGACCTCGACAGGGCACGTGGGGCTGAGCCCCAGGAGCTGTGCTGCTCCTGCCATCTCCAGAGGACCATGGTGCCACCACTGGGACAGCAAACAGCCCTCACGGCCAGTGCCACACCGGTCCAGGGAGGCTGTGGCTGTGATGAAGGGGGAAGCAGCAGCCAGAGAGCCCAGCTCTGGGATTGGTGGCCCCAGCAGAGGCTCGGGCCATCCCTGTCAGAGTCAGCCATGACCCCCCCCGGGGGCTCTCTCTCCCGGCAGATCATCGCCGCCCAGGAGGAGATGCTGCGCAAGGAGCGGGAGCTGGAGGAGGCGCGGAAGAAGCTGGCCATGATCCGGCAGCAGCAGTACAAGTTCCTGCCCTCGGAGCTGCGGGACGAGGAGCAGAACTGAGCCCCCGCGCCCTCCCGCCGCTTCACCGCCACAGGCTGCCTGCCTGCTCGCCCGCTCCTAATTTAAGACGACCCGCCTCAAAGCCAAGGGCTGCCTGGGCTAGGCCAGGGCTCTGCCCGCACCCAGAGCGCCGGGACTAACCCAGCTGCTGCTCCGTGCCGGTGCCGCACCAGCAACTCTCGCTTCGCCGCCCAGACCACCTTCCCGCACGCACCCAGCGCACAGCCAGAGCGTCCGGAGGGACCCGGCTGGGCTGGGAGCCGGGGCCGCACCGGCTGAGAGCTCACCCGCCAGCCCCAGGGTGCGGGGCTGGAGAGCTCTCAACTGTATTGGGGATATTTCTGTGTGCCTTTTTTTTGTCTCCTTTCCGCTCGTGCTCTTTCCTTCTCTCTCTCCTCCGCACGGGCTTTGCCCCTCTTCTGTGCCGTCAGGTGCAGGGAGCGGGACGGCCCCTCGCTGAGCTCTCTTCTGGAGCTGCCTTTCACCTCTGCTGCCTTATTGCTGGCTGAATCTTCCTCCCCTTCCTCCACAGCTTCCCTGGGAGGCTCTGAGCTCCTCTCCATGAGCGTTTTCTTCAACCTGGGCCCCTCTGGGGAGCCAGCAGAGCTGGAAGCCGTAGTGCCTGTGCTCAGCCTGGGGGAAGATGTGATGGGTTCACTCCCCGGGCTGCTCTTTGCCTTCCCGCGGGGATTCCCCCTGCCCGTGGCCCCAGCCAGCTCTGCCCTCCTCCTCCTCCTTCCCAAGTGCCTGCATCGTTTTCCAAGATCTGCAGTATTTTTGTAACTTTTCCATTTCTCTAGTATTGAGCCTGCAGCTTTTAAAGTTCATTTATTTCCCCCCGCCCCCAGCTCATGCCCTGCCCACTAACACCCAGCTCTCGCCGGGGTCCCGCAGCCCAGCATTCCACCCCTCCTCGGCTTCGGGACCCCCATCCCTCCCTCCCCCTTTGCACTTGCTGAGGCTTCTTTCACTATTTTGATACTTTTAAGCATCCCATATCAAACATTAAAGGAAACCAGCTCCCCCTGAAGCTCCAGGGTGGGGTGGGGGATGCTGATGTCTGCTTGGAAAGACGCGTTCATCAATAAAATCTGGTTTTCCTGCTTTCTCGATGCCTGGGTATCAAGGGGAGAGGGAGGGTTGGTGGGCAGGGGGGCCCACGGGTGCCTGCCCTCCCAGCAGAGGCTGTGGGGGGAGTGTAGCACGGGTGCTTATACAGCATGGAAAATATTTGAGGCACGTCTAGCCCCAGGCTCTCAGCAAGCCGGACCCCCGCTGCCAGCCATGTGCCGGCCCTCGCAGGTGCTGCCGGGGGGCCACTGCCGCGGGACGGGGCCTGGGGGATTTTGTTGCTG